AGCTTATGGCTGAATGATAGCATAGAAATTAAACATCTATCAGGTATTTTTATTTTCTCCAGTATCACTCTTTGTAAATGATAGTTTTATCTCTTATTTTTTGTTTTTTTATTTTTTATTTTTAAAATAATTTTCTTGCAATTAATATAGGGAGACGAAAATGGTTTATTAGTTACTTATTCCTATATTTAAAAAATCCTTAAAACTTAGCAACTTAAAACAACAGTCAAGCATTTTCTCTTCAAGTCTGAAATCTGAGTAGCTTAGCTGGGAGGTTCAGGCTCAAGGTCTTTCAGGAGGTTGCAGTCAAGCTATCAATTATAGCTCCATTCTCATTTGAAAACTCCACAAAGGGAGAATCCACTTAAAAATTCACCTGTGTGATTGTTGGTAGGCCTCAGTTTCTTGCTACCTTTTGGTGAAGCCAGATATTTCAGTTCCTTATATGTTGGCCTCTCCACAGCCTGGAAAAGTATCCTTTGGATATGCAACTGTCTTCTTCTTGAGGGAGTGACCCATGAGAGAGAGTGTACCCCAGAAGGAATTGCATTACTTAGTATTAGAAGTAATATAGTATACCTTTTGCTTTTAGTTAGAAATAAGTCATTAAGTCAAGCTGACACGGGGAAAGAAATGATAAGCTCAACTCCTTGAAGGGAGGATTATCAAAGAAATTGTAGACATATTTTTTAAACTACCCCAAGTAGCTTTGGGAAAATTTTTCACAAGTTAATCGGTCTAAAGATGGTAGAAAAGTAATGTTTACTTTATATCATTGTTTTGAAATACAATTAAAAGATTGAAAAGGAGGCATGAAAAGGTTACCTTCATTGAAACAAGGAAAAAAGACTTCAAAATAATGAGGAAAGAAATATCCAACAATTGCCTTTGTCCTCAGACTTCAGGACAAATATCAGTTTGCCTAATGGTAAGTCGTCCAGCCCTTAAAAGAAATGTGTACTCAATTGTTCATTAATAAATGTAAACTAATCGGTTGAAGAAGTCTGTGTAAAAGTTGACAAATGACTCAGGATACTTCAGAACATTTGGAAGGAGGCATTAAAATAAGAACTACTCTGACAAGCCTTAAATATTTCTTTTTTTCAATCTAAGTTTTTGGGAGGACCTTGAAGTTGAGGCAGAGGGAAGGAGGCAAGAGATTCAGAAATCGTCAGATTATAGTTAGACTCCTAACCTGAGGTTTCTCCCTGTGAACCACACAGTTGTTCTAAAAAGGAAATTGGGTTAATACAGATACATAACATCTGTGCATTCAGATGTTACAGATAATCACATTACTAACAACAGTTTAAAGAAGCAATGCATGAAACCAAAGTAGATATAAGATAACAGAAGAAATGATATGTAAGTATTGGAGCTCAGGAGACAAATGGAAGAGAAAACGATTGAAGAGTTGAAACTCTTATTAGTAGTAATATAGTTGCACCTAATTAGATAGTAATATAGCAACCAAACTCAACAAAGTCAAATAAAAAAGAAGATACAGAAGTCATTACACAGTTTATGGAGAAAACTTTTTTTTTTTTTTTAAAGAAAAACGTATGCCTAATTGGTATGAGGAGAAAAGAGCAAATGAGAAATAAATTTTCCTGAAAAAGTCCTAAGACTGAAAGTTAAAAAGGCCATCTGAGTCACAGAAGAAAAAAAGACATATCCACCAAAATTATTGACATTCAAGGGTGGGTAAAGAGTCCTGTGGGTGCCCATGTATAAAATCTGGTCACTTAAAAATGATGAAAGTCAGACCGGAGTCAGACTACTTCACCATAGTAATGTCCAATGTTACCAGAGGGTAGAAAAATACACACAAAATCATTAGTGAAATTAGTAGTGAACATGTAATTTGATACCTACCAAGTTGTCTCTTAATGATGAAGACAAAATAGATATATTCTTAACTATGCAAAAAGGAATACGGCATACAAGTGCTTCTTTTTGATAAAAAATAAGGAACTTAGAAATGGAAAAATCATGGGAAGGTACTAAGTATCTAATCTCATAATAAGAACTATTAGTAAGAAATTTTGTAAAATATGATTATCAAACAAAATTGAGAAAATTTAAGAAGTATACTTGAGAAGTTCATCATTCTTTGTAGCAGAGAATAAACAGATTATTTCCAAATTGAAACAATTCTATACATACACACACACACACACACACGCATACACACATACATATAGCTAATTTTGTGTTTTTGGTAGAGACAGGGTTTCACCGTGTTGGCCAGGCTGGTCTCAAACTACTGACCTCAGCTGATCCCCCCACCTCAGCCTCCCAAAGTGGTGAAAGTACAGATGTAAGCCACCACACCCAGCTATTTCCTGTGTAGATTTAGCTAATTGTTTTCTGTCTCAGTTTTGTCATCTCTAAGAAAAGGACTAATTATTGCCAATGGTGATTGTGAGTGTTTCGTGGTGTTATGCATGAAAAGTATTCAGCATAATGTCTGGCTTATAGTAATTACACTAAAAGTAAATATTAGTTATTATTGATAACAATTTATTCAGTGCTTGCAATATACAAGGTATTTGCCAATGTTAATGCCAACTGATATTCATACTAATATTGTAAAGTAGGCATTATTATCCACAAATAATACATGAGTAGCAGATAATCAAAGATGTTTGGTTCATGGCTAAAAAATACTAGTACTGGAATTTGAACCTACCTGTGTCCAAATCTAAAGCTCAAGAATTGTCTATTATATGAAAATATAACACATACTTATTATATGTGAATTTTATGCAACATGTGTATTTTTAATGTTTAAGTCAGAGTTTTAATGTGTAAAGATCAGAAACGGTTATTCACAATGTAATTGTGCATGTTAATTCTTAAAATTTCATTTATACAAATTTTGACATAAAAATTTATAAAATTTTTCCAAGTTTTTATGAACTCATAATGCTACAACAAATACAAAATTTTGACAATAATTTTCTCTAGTTATTTATTAAATCATTTATTTTCCTTTTCCTTGTTGAATTAAAGTTTTAATTGACAGCAATATAATTTGGTACTGTGAAACACATTTTGGTTATTTGGGTGTAATATTTTGCTGTAGCTTTAAAAACCTGCAGCTAGGCCACTTGAGGTGGTTCACTCCTGCAACCCCAGCACTTTGGGAGGCCTAGGCGGGCGGATCACTTGAGGTTAGGAGTACGAGACCAGCCTGGCCAACATGGCAAAAACCTGTCTCTACTAAAAATACAAAAATTATCTAGGCATGGTAGCTGGAATTGCAGCTACTCGGGAGGCGGTTGCAGGAGAATCGTTTGAACCCAGGAGGCAGAGGTTGCAGTGAGCCAAGATCGTGCCACTGCACTCCAGACAGAGTGGGAGTGAGACTCTGAAAAGCAAACAAAAACCAACCCTGTATCTAGGTTATGTAGGAGTCAAAATATTTGCCCGTACATGCTCATAGTGAGTGCTCAGTTTTTATTTGGTTTAAAATACTATGAAAACTCCTGTTTTACTTTGCCAAAACAAAATATCATATAATATATTTAAAGAAAGCAAATCATTTTACTCTGAATTTGTTCTTCTAAATATGAGGTGTACATCTTTTCCCAGAAATTTATTTAGCTCAAATTTCCTGGAACATTTATTTTTATACTTTTTTCTTAATATTTTCTTGTGATTATCTGCAGAAGGTATAAACTTCTGTTTAATACAGATATGGGAAATACATCTTTCCTGAAATCATTTCTCTATCCTTATCTGTAGTAGTAGTTTTTAACAAGGGTCATTTTGATCCTGGAACACATATAACAATGTCTGGATACATTTTTTATTATTATATGTTGAGAGAGATGCTACTGGAATCTAGTGGGTAGAGGCCACGGATGCCGCTAACCATTCTACAATGTACAAGACAGCCCCCACTCAACAGAAAGATCTGTCCCAAAACGTCAGTGGTGCAGAGACTGAGAAACCTGATCTAGGGATATTATGTGATCAAATTCATGATCAATGAAAATTAAGCACAAAAAGCTTTACTTTTTCACCAATTCACAATTCAGGATGCTATAGATCTTAGATATGCACACGATGCTCTGAATGCTTACATAACTGTGGGCTAAAATAACTTACTTGTATTCTCCTCTGTACATTTACTAATCATTTCTCCAGCTGACTTAGTCTAAAACTCAAGTCCAAGTTGACATTTGAAGTCCATTTTTAGTCTCACTTTTTTCATGAAATTTTCATTAGCTTCAAATTGCTTTTATTACACACAGAATATCTCTGAGTATTAGCTAACTAAAATAGAATCGAGTACCTGGTATATAGTAGGTAATAAATTTATGTGCTCTTCCCACTGGCCTCCACCTCCTTTTATGACTTTTGTCTTCTGATCTTACTGACTATTTAGTTGTATAAAGTTTTGCCATTTTAATTAAGTTGTCTTTTTTGAAAGCATGTCTTATTTATTCCATGAAAATACCTTTGTTCATGTTACATCATTTTTTTACACTCCAGAATTGTTAGCACTAAATGTAGTGAATTAATGAAGAATATTAAAAAATTGCAAAAGGACCAACATTTTCATACCTGTAGCTCCTAAGTAGTGACACAATATTAATGTATTACTTTTGCATGTGTATTATTTTTAGCATTCTAAGAGTTTTATAAACTATCAGGTTTTTTAAGATAATGTTTATGCTTAGTATTATTATCCTTTAGTCTGATTTTGAAAAATGAAAACAGACAAATATATTTAAAATATAAATGTCTGAGATGCTTGTTTTTATGTATTATATCTTTAACAGCATTTTTACTTGATTAAAAATTATATTTGGTTCTTTACAATTTAATAAAACAATTCAATTTTCTAGCTATTCCTTCTTCTGGGAATTTACCTGTTGATTACAAGAAAAGAGCAAGTATTTTGAATATAGATAAGATGGAAAAGAAAAAAACACAAAATATCTTGCTAGTTTAAGGAAGTTTAAAATGTGTCTGTTTTGTCTTTACAGAAAGTGTGGACTATGGGCCAGTTTTTGTGCAAGAACCAGATGATATTATTTTTCCAACTGATTCTGATGAAAAGAAGGTAGCACTGAATTGTGAAGTTCGTGGCAATCCAGTTCCCAGTTACAGGTAGGAATTCACTGTTAATCATTTTTCTTAAGCCTTAAAAACTTTCCATCAATGATATTCTGACACTCCCAGAGAGGATTATACATATTTGTCTTCTGATTTTTCCTAAGATGGCTTCGAAATGGAACAGAAATAGATCTGGAAAGTGATTATCGCTACAGTTTGATAGATGGCACCTTCATTATAAGCAATCCAAGTGAAGCAAAGGATTCTGGTCATTATCAGTGTCTAGCAACCAACACTTTGGGGAGTATTCTTAGTAGAGAAGCTACACTTCAGTTTGCCTGTGAGTAAAATATATTATTTTTCTATATATATGTGTATATACAGTATGGATTTTTAAACTTTAGTTCAGGAAAGAAAAACTTAAGATCTCAAAGTTTTAAATGTGATAAAACCATGGTAAGACATGGTAAGAATTCGAATTACGCAAACAGTTCATTTCTTCTTGGGGTATTTTGAAATTTTCTGAAAGATTTGCTATCTTCAAAATAAACCTGACATACTAGCCTGAGGGGTCAAAGTCCTTTTCATTAAAGTAAAGTTCTAGAAGTCATAACAACGTATTTTGAAACACACCACTTATTATGTATTATTTTTAAGTCTTTGAGTTCAAATTAAGCTTTCTTTGTGAAAAAAAATTATAATTCAAGTATCTTTTGAAATCTGATTCTCTCCATCTCTTTTTAAAAATATCTACTGTTGTCCTATCTACTATAGTCACCATTTGCTATGGATTTCTAAGAATATAAGATAGCACATTCTAAAAATTCTGCTTATATTCAGGTAACAAAAAATACCTCTGAAATGCTAATATTTTAGATTTTGACTATGTCTTCCAGATGTCCCAATTTTTGTATTGCAAAAAAGATACCGTATCTGGCTATAGAAAGATAGATACGCACACGCACACACACACACACACACACACACACAGAGGAATATAAGCATTTCTAAAGTAGATAATATATCTGATTAACTGAAAATTAGCCGGGCGTGGTAGTGGGCGCCTGTAGTCCCAGCTACTTTTGGAGGCTGAGGCAGGAGAATTGCTTGAACCTGGGAGGTGGAGGTTGCAGTGAGCCGAGATTGCACCACCACACTCCTGCCTGGGCGACACAGCAAGACTCGGTCTCCAAAAAAAAAAAAAAAAAAGAAGAAAGAAAGAAAAGCAAGCAAATGTGTGTATATATAATTAACTGAATATATTTATTCTTAAAAACTCTTGAAATTATTTTACTTACAATGACAGCTTACAATAAACTAAAAATAGGCTAATAGGCAAAATATTTTATTATTCCTTAATAAGTAATCCTACTTGAAATTAAATTCTTGAGATAGAATCTCTAAAAAATACTGAGAAAGACCAGGAATCTTTATATTAATAATTAAACTGTAATTGTATTGGCTACATAAGAGATCATGAAATGATTTTTAAATTAAAATTACACCTGGAAGAATGTAATAATTGATCTTTCTCTATATAATCTTTCTCAGGTATCATTTCTAATTAACCCAGAATTCAGACACCCTATTAAAGAAGTATGAAATAGAAAAGGAAAGAGTAAAGAATTGATGATAAATACAGTTTGAGGAGCACCAAGATAGGTCCTAGAAAAATGTAAATCTCATCTTTTAAAGTATATTTGCCTAAGGAATTCAGATAGGCACATTTACATAGGCCAAAGATACCAAGATAGCAGCCTAAATAGATTCTTTTTTATTTTGGAAAATATTATGTGGTGTATCACAGAACCTAATAGTTTATATTATGCACAATTAACAAAGTAACCTAATAAACTAACCCTCACAATAGCTCCTTTATTCAGTAGTCTTTTCAAGATAGATGCAGCATATCCAGAAAATATGCTTCACAAATATTAATGGCTTGTACCTTACACTTTGGTCTACAGTATCTGATACAAGGTATACCAGTTAGGTATAGCCTGTATGTCATTTGTTTTTCCCTTTGTGGAAGCAAATTATGCCAACTTTTTCTGCATGTGTTTACAGCAGAAAGCTATTTATTTTACATATCCATATGACTGTCCTAGGTTTTCTGGAAAGACCCAACACAGTTGTCAAATACACTCACCTGAAATGAGGACTTTGGCACTAGCATTTACAGTTCAATGACCAGGCGTGGGAAGTACTAGTTATCCTAAGTATCTTACCTATTTAGCAAGAAGCTGTCTTCAACTTGATGTAGAGCAATATCTACCTATTTTTAACTTAAACATTACGGGCTTACATGTGTATTCAGTGGTAGCACCTTATGACTCTACCCCTCTCCACTTTCTAGCAAACTCAGGTCATTGGCTAGATATGCATAAAAACCCACAAGGTACCCGGTTAAAGCAGAGAGTTACACAGGGAAGACCAATTCTGCCTCAAAATTATTTCCCCACCTAGATGCCATTATGCTTATTCTTATGATATTGAAATAAGTCCTTTAGATGTAGCTCTATCTATTTTTCCAGTTTGTCTTTGAAAATAAATTCAAATATGGGCAGTAGGGAGAAAAGATGATTTGATTAACCTTACTAGTATACCTGGATGGGAGTTTGGGTGCTGTAGGATTCAGGGACTGAGAATCGTTCAGAGATTAGGGAGTGAAAATGAGGTAGGAAGTTGGGGAGAAAAAAGAAAAGGGGTTTCTGAAATGAAGTGAAAGAAGACAAAGGCAAAGTGAAACTTAAAAACTTGGTCGGCAGGCCTTGCGCGGTGGCTCACGCCTGTAATCCCAGCATTTTGGGAGGCTGAGGCGGGTGGATCACGAGTTCAGGAGATCAAGACCATCCTGGGTAACACGGTGAAACCCACCTGTACTAAAAACACAAAAAATTAGCCGGGCCTGGTGGCACGTGCCTGTAGCCCCAGCTACTAGGCAGGCTGAGGCAAGAGAATCGCTTGAACCCGGGAGGCAGAGCTTGCAATGAGCGGAGATCGCACCGCTGCACTCCAACCTGGGCGACAAAGCGAGACTCCGTCTTAACAAACAAACAAAAAACTTTGTTGGCAACTTTCCTTTATATGGTGTTTTCTGAAGACCAGGCTTGTAGGTAAATATATTTAATAGAATACACTCACTATTGTTGGAGTGTTTAATGTCTGAAGGGATTTTTGTGGAGGAATGTTTATTACATCTGTCACATTTTAAAGCTGAAATATTTCATATCTACCAGGCATTATTTATCTAAAAATTTAAATATTCGTTACACAACTAACATTTCAAAATCAATATATTTAATAGACTGAGACAATTATTAAAGCATATTTAATCAAATTTTGTTAAACATTTATTAAATATTGAATATACGAGTCTTAAATGTATTAAATATTTTAAAATCAGACTAAATTTGTAAATCATCAAAATGATTGCAAAACTTTTCACTAATACAGTACTTACAGTTATAATTCCTCCTTGTACTTATGCTTGAGGCATATTTGCATATGTTATTCAGTTTATAATAATTGAATATGTTTTTACCTTTTACACATTAATTTTATCATTTGTTGTAAAATACCTTTTTAGATTATTTTTATGCTGTGCTAGTGCTATCATGATCTTCCAAAATCAAACTTAAAGGACTGTGTTACCCGATTCAAAGTCTGTTTTTGAGTTACCAGCCCAATGAGTTTTGATTGCCTCTTTCAAATTCGAGATCTGTTTAACAGACTAGTTCACTTTTGTGATTAACTATTATTATTGTTATATCAATGATACTTTTTAAATCTTCAGCTTTTACTTTTGCCTTTTAGAATATGACAACATCGCTTGAAATTATGTGATTCTAAAACTTGTTGAACAGTGTTTAATAAACATAGAATGGGGCTCCCCTAATTATAGCCATAAAAAATGTATTAATTTGTATTATATAATAGGTATATACTTAATTGAAGAAGTTATCCATATACTAACATAATATCAAATTATCCATATACTAACAATTATTATACATATTTATTATGAAAAGATAAATATTAAATATAATAAAATGTAAATATATGTCTTTGAAGTTATCTCTTTTGCATGAAAATTACATATTTTCAAAGAAAAATTTCTGATTTTTAGTATCATTAAAGTCAGATGGCTTTTTGTAGATTCAACATATATATATATTATGCATACATATATATATATGTATGCATAATTAGTATACTGACACTCCCTTAATGCTAGGAGTACTCTTACTTAACCAGAAATATATTTTAAAATATTCTGCCTTTCCACTAATAACAGGTTGTCTTCCTGCTCCCATCCCCTTGTCAGGCATAGATTGATCGCTTTTCAATGACTATAATGTTATAGAGTCTAAACTCTAGGTGCTGCAGGAGCATATTAGATAGTATCAAATAAGTTCTGGTGGTAGATAGGATAACATTATTGCTAAACCAGATAGTAAAAAATATTTTTTAAAAATAGGTTTTGAATGTCTCAAGCTCACATTGATAGCTTATATTTACTGAATGCTTACTTTTGTGGCAGACAGTGCTCTGTTTTAAATACATTAACTCATTTTATCCTCATAACCAACACATGAGTTGTTCATGTTGTAAAATGTAAATTCATTCTTCAGATGATACCTCTAATTTAACCCTAATAGTACTCAATCTTTTCCTATTCCCGTATAAATGTGTATTGGATTTCTTTTTGACCTAGCCAGTTTGATTTTAGAGGTTCTTCTGAACTTGAATTAAATTGGAATGTTTTTAAAAATCTCATATGCTTGCTTCCTTAGTCATTTTACAATTTATTAACGTCTATGTAAGAAAAATTAACATTAGTAATGAAAATAAGCATGCAATCAGTGTCCTGCATTACTTCTCATTGTTCAAATTTAGTTTAAAACCACTTATTTAATTTTCCTTACAGAAGTTTAAGAGTTTAGGAGACACTGACTTTCTTTCCAATCCTGGAATTTCGGGTTTATAGTAATTTTGATGTGTAATCACTCTTTCTTACTAACATATTTTTTTCTTTTAATAAAACCTTTCTTCATAATTTCATTATTTATTGAATAAGCTACAGTTAGGACCTAGAAAGCTAACTTTTCTAAATTAATTTGAGACAGGACAAAGATAACTGCAGCTATTGTCAAAAGCGGATCTCATCATAGGTCCTAGCTTTTGCAGAAAATGATGATAAGGAAGTGAGTGTTTTATTAATACCTGGTGATATAGCAAAAATAAAGTTATATGTAGCATTTGGAAAAATTAAGCAAGTATAAAGCAAGTTAAATTGTTTTTAAAGTTTCATTTCTATTCATTTGTCACCCAATATAT